AGCTCTATGGTATTGGGTCATCTTTTCTTATAAAAGTGAGTAAAAGGGGGGGGGTCCGTTTTCTTGCTTTAAAGTTTTAATATTTTCAAGGAAAGTACTGAGACATAGGGAGGGTTTAGACAGAGTGTCTTTTGTCTTGCCCCCGTTAGGATTTCTTAAGCAAATCCACTGGGCTTTCAACATGAAGCCAGAAAATCGGGACTTTTTTAAAACGCCCCAGGACACAGGACAAATTGTTATAAATCGTGACTGTCCCACCAAAATTGGGACGTCTGGTCACCTTATTATTATCTCTACACCAGTCGTGGGTTTCAAACAATTTTATTGCCTATTCTGTGGGCATGGCCTATATTGTAGGTATGGCTTCACGGTCATGTGACCAGGTGGGCGTGGCCAACTTGTAAAATGTGGTGAAACTCACTTAACAATGCTCTTGCTTAGCAACCGAAATGTTGGCTCAGAAACTCTGGCATTTGAAGTATGCACGTCTTAAAGCTGTAAAATAAGAAGACACTTGTACCCCTAACCCTTTACACAAAAAAATAAACCCAGGGGTGTTCAAACTTGACAGCTTTAAAATTTGTGAACTTCAACTCCCAGAATTCCTCCTCCGGTCATGTTGGCTCAGGAACTCTGGCATTTGAAGTGTGCAGGTCTTAAAGCTGTCAAGTTACAAGACCCTTGAACCCCCAACCCTTTTTTAAAAACCCAAAAACTAAACCTTTATTTTTTTAAGCATTTTGCATTCAGGGAAAGTCGGAACAAGGCACACCAGCCACACACCACCTCCACTGACTTTGAAGTCTTTCTCTCATGCTGCCAAAATCCCTTGCCACTCTTTACCTGCAGCCGCCCCTTCAACCTCCCACCCGTGGAGGATGCGTGGTGGTCCTCCTGGAGGGGCAGCCAAAGGGCACTTTCACCCACCTCCCAAATAGCATGTAGGCTGAAGAAAGTGAGAGGGGAGATGCTCTTTTTTCTGCGGGGTAGAAGGAGGTGAGGCAGCCTTAGGTGCCATCTGGGGACAGCCCCTCAGAGGCATTGCTTCTTGGCCCGAAACAAAGAGGTGGTGAGGAAGGAGTCTCTGGTGGGCTGCAGCAGCAGCAGAAGCAGCAGTGGTGAAACACAATCCCAGGCAGGTAGTTCTGGCTCTCCCCTGGGCATGTTCCATTGCTGCTGCTGCCTCTTTTGATGAATCTGCCTTGGCAATGATGGCAAGAAGCAGCTGCCAGCGATGCTCTCAGTGATGGCAAGAGCCCCACCACTGAACCAAATTCATCAAAAGCAGCAGAAGCAACAATGGGACATGCTTGGGGAAGGGAGAGCCAGAACTGACTGCCCAGGACAGTATTTCAGCCACTGCTTCTGCTGCTGCTGCAGCCCATCAGAGACTCCTTCCTCACCACTGCTTTGCTTTGGGCCGAGAAGTAACACCTCTGAGGGGCTGTCCCTGAAGGGCACCTGAGGCTGCCTCGCTGCGGCTATCAGAGGAAGGAGGCAGGGATGCTGGCTGGTACTCGCTAAACTTACCACTCACCCCTGCTGCTCCTGTGGCCCGCTGGCTGCAGCCCCACTTGCCCTGCTTAGCTAGGTGGCTGGCCGGGAAAACAGCGAGGAAGAAATCAGGGGGAGAAAGGGAGGAGAAGGCCGTCCCTAGCAGAAGCTGGGCTTTTCCCTCCCTCTCTCACCCGATTTCTTCCCTGCCATGCTCATTGAGGAAGGAGACAGAGATGTTGGCCAACACCCACTTCACTTACCCCTCGCCGCCACCACCACTCCTGCGGCCCGCCAGCTGCAGCCCTGTTTTTGGCAGCCATTGCACACTGTTGGCTCATATTTAATTGGTTGTCCACTAAAACTCCAAGATCTTTCTCACAGTTACTGCTATTAAGTCTATAAATGTACTTTCCCCCTTGCCTAAGTGCAAGACTTTACTTTTCTCTACATTAAATTTCATTTTTGTTAGATAGGGTTAGATTTAATTACTATATTTACTATATTGGAAAAAATCTAAGCAGAAAATCTAACACCTTTGATGAACTTGTTATGAGCTATCTGGAGGTTCTTAACATGGAAGGACATAAATGTGTAGCAAAAAAATAATAATAATCAGTATTTGACTTAAGTAAGGATTCTTGGAACTACTGTTTCTGTTGACAATTATTTATTGAGAGAGATTTATCCAGACCATCAAAATAGAAGGAAGAATTAGAATACAAGAAGGAAAGAAGAAAGAAACAGGTGTTTTGGTGTGACAAATGACAAAATAAATGTTAGACCATAAAGACAGAAGCTCCAATCTTTTCGTATGAACCCTGTTACATTATAAAGGATGAAACTTCTGTTGAGATGCTTGATTTATGAAAGAAGGAAAGAAGAAAGCTAGTACTCAATAAATAAATACTAAATAAAAGGAGCCAGTTTGGTCAAGTGGTTAAAGCAACAATCTAGAAAGTGGATGATTGTGAATTCTAGTCCCATCTCAGTCATGAAAAACAGCTGAATGACCTTGAGCCAGTAACTCTCGCTCAGCCCAACCTATTTCACAGGATTGTTAGCAAAATAGGAGAACGAAAGTATGTTAGATATGGTCACCATCTTAAGTTATTTGTAAAAACAATAAAGGTGGGATACAAGAAATAAATACTGAATCACTATTATGCTGATCAGTGCTATAATTTTACGTGACTTCATCTTAAATTAGGAATTCTGCATAATTAAGGTACCATGTGGGAAGACTTTTTTGGTGTTTTTGGCCTATATATGACCAATTTCAAACATTATTAACATTAAAGAATTTCTACAAGAACCAGACAATTTGGTTATACTTTGTTTTTAACTTTTATAACAAAAGACTTCAGACAGAATGCTTCAGAAATGAAATATTTCTGTTTAGCCTTCTTTATGTTTAGAAGAGTTCATTTAAATTTAAGGGAAAAATCAATCAAAGAGGGGATCCAGGCTCTCTTGCCTATCCCCTATTTCTACAATACAAGTGGTTAATATCAATTTCAATTACTTCATTTTTACAACAATAAAAATGATGAACTTGCCTGTCTGATATATTGATTGTGCCTACCTTTTGCCACATTTTGATAAAGAAAAGTTCTCTGGAAAAGTTGAAAGCGATGTTTGTATCATAAGCATCATCCCCAATGTTAGAGATAGTGATGTTCAGCGAGATGTTCTTCACAGCTCCCAAAGCCAGATAAGGAGCCCTATCATCAACACTGCAGAAAAAGAGCAGCAAATTAACTCCTGGCTATTCATTCTTCTCTTTTTTTAAATTTTACAATGGAAAAAAGCTATATGAAATAAGAGCAAAAAACCCTCTCCCGGTACCAGATGACAAATGGAAACAAAAGAAGAATATGCTGGCTCTCCTCCTAGGCTATCACTGTGGACTAAGTCAAAAGTACTATTTTAGGACACTTTGCAGATCAGAATTTTTATTTTTATTATTATTATACAATTGTATCACAGCGGCCAGTTGTTTCGCCGGATTTGGCATTGGTTACTAGTCGGGCCCCACCCAGGGGCNTTGGAGGTCTTCTAGTCCAATCCCCTGATCAGGCAATCCCATGGTCCAGGGATGTTGTATCTATCATAAATTCCTGACTGTTGCCAAACACTCAAAGTTTAATCATGTGACTGTAAGGATGGTACAAGTGTGAAAAAAACTGGTCATAAGTCACTTTTTTCAGTACCTTTGTAATTTTGAATGATCAGTAAACAAATGGTTGTAAATCGAGGACTTCCTGTATAACTACCGTATGCACAATATAACTAGGGATTCTTGTTGTGTACTCCTGTTGACTAATGAACAGCATTCAAATATAGCAAATGTCACCTGGTCAATGAACATTTCTCTGCTTCCCGCTCTAGTGTTGAAATTAGGGCAACGGAAGGCATTTTAAGATGTAACGACAGCTAAATTAGCACGGCCTCTGGATCAACTGCATCATTTTCAGCCTGTGATCTCTCAACGACTGGAATAATGCAGCAACGTTTCACTTTGGATTAAATAATAATAACACCATTGGGGAAAAGGAAAGTGATAAGCATAATATCGCTAAAGTAATAACAGGAGATCAAGGGAGCTGGCTTGATACCAGCATGAAAAATGTAGAAAAGGCCCAGGGTCCATTCCCCAATGTGCTAACTTTTTAATATACATGCACATGAAACAAAGTATGACACTGAAAATTGAATCTCATGAAAATTTATGAGGGATCCCTTTTAAAGGTATGGGAGTTTTCACCAAGTCGAGGCATGGGGGTCATTAATCCTTTTGTCCATTCCTCATAGCAAAAAAATTACAAGGAGCGCGAAGTAGAAAATCTGGTCTGGATAAGTGGTTAGAAATATAAAATGTGACCTTTTAATTAAGGAGTTTGTCATACCTTACATCGTGGCATTTCTAGCAATTTATGGCACCTTTATTCACTGTCTCACCCTCTGCAGTGTTGTTCAATGCTCAGTATTATATGGTGCTGGAGGAACATCCTCACTAAAATCATAGCCTTAATTAGAAAGGTGTAATAGAAATGCCTAAGACCTATCACCTTTGTTTTTTTACACATAGTGCCTAATATTATATACATAATAGATGGGAATGGTGCCAGGCCAATTCATTGCATAATCCCTTAATTAATACAATCTGTAATAATTAAACATCCTTTGGAGAATTTCAGAAACATTTTATTGTACATGCGCTGAAGATCATTTTAAGACTCAATGTCTCAGCTGTTTGCTCATTTTTAATTTGGTTTTCCAAATTGCCAACAGCCTTATTGCTGTCTTGTGGACCACTCATTTAACAGATTTCATTTCTTAAATGAAAAAAGGTGGGGGGAAACAACTCTTCCTCAATCCAGTGCCACGATGGAATATTGTGTCAATGGTTTTAGGCACATCAAATGAACATTAAAGATATGCTTCTAATTTCCTTATAATGTCATCTAGAAGAGTGGTGGTGAATTTATGACAGATCACAATGCTTTGAAAGACATGCCAACATCCACCAACACCCAATTCTAAAAGGCATATCCCTTTCTCCTGTAATTTTCAGAGGTTGCAGAGACCCTGCATGAATCTCACAAAGTCTCTGAACCAAGTGGAAGTTGTGTGCGAAGGTATGCTCATGTACAGCCTCTAGCCAGTGGTGGGATTCAAATAATTTAACAACTGGTTCTCTGCCCTAATGGCCAGTGGGTAGGTGTGGCTTGGTGGTCATATGACTGGATGGGTGTGGCCAACTCAAGGTTACTCACAACCATGGGTGCTTTGCCTTAGCTGTTACAATGTAATAAGGGTTAACCGCAGAGGCAGTTTCTATAAGCAGGGCAATAAAGATTAGGCTAGAAACAACACCAGAATGTTTCCTCCCTGCCTTCCTTACAGGATTAGCTCTGTAAAGTGGAAACAAAATAAGATTTCTTCCAACAACAGGTTCTCCGAACTGCTTAGAAAGTTAACAACCAGTTCTCCCGAATAGGTGCGAACTGGGTGAATTCCACCACTGCCTCTAGCAGATTATTTGTGGTTTATCTTTTCTTAAGCAAATGACCAAAAGATGATTTCAACAAGGACCTATTCCAGTCCAACCCCCTGCTCAGGTAATCCCATGATCCCGGGATGCTGAATTCATCGTAAATATCAATATTAAAGTCCTAATCTGGACTGCTGCTACAAAACATATAAGTGACATTTAGAGACCCTTTATTGACTGCTGAGTTATAATAGCGTTCGCCTACATGTATAGACAAATCTTTCTGCAAGTGTAAAATACCTAACAGATTCTTTTACACCATGAGGCAGTCCTTGGAGAATGGTGAATCAAGGAGTAAAATGCTATTTTAACACTGGCATAGCTAAACATTTATTTAACCCTATTTCACTCATGCCCTGAGATTGAGATGAAGGCAATCTGGGCACAGAATGGACAAAACATGTTGCCAGATGATACTTGACCCTGGTTTTGTATAAGAGAGGGGTAATGTTCTCAGATGTCATCTATCACTGAAACATCCAATTGTGACTTTTTCAGTGTGAGTTATTGTGCTATTGATCTTTGAAGACATAAAGAACTGTTGCCCATAGGCAATAATTTGCTAGCAGACAGAATCCACATGAAAACTGCGACTTCCACTTAACCTGTTTTTTTTCTGATTTTAGGTGTCAGGTGCAATTTGCAGTGTGCCTTTCAAAAGCCCCCAAAAAGACAGCTATGACTAAAGACGTCCAAAGTCACCTCGCTGTGTTTGTTTGCTTGTGTCTCTGAGCAGTTACATTAATTCAAAATGAGCAGCACTCATTTAAATTAATTGTGACCCTGATGCTGTAAGGTGATGTTGTGGATTATTTGAAAACCTACAGTATGTTTCGTGACATCATCGTGACATGATGTAAAACATCATGTGACAGCTCATATTGCCCAGATGTCACCACACCTTGCATCAAGGTCCTTAAAACACCTTTTGTCAGGATCCTAATTGCCGTGTAGTTCAGCCTCCTTTTATCTTGGAGAAAGAAGCAGAAGATTATAGTCATATCCAGTCTACCGCTTGCCATGTCTAATATTATTAGGTGAATAATTTATTTCATTGAGTGAGGTTTCATGCCAACTCCATACAGAAATCTGACAGCCCTGGCTGCTGTTCAGATTAGCTCATTTGGCCAGGTGATTTGAAAGAAGAAAAAGGACTTTGCTGATAAGTGGTTGGGGCAATTTCATTTTTCTGGGATATATCCTGTATATTTTTTTTAAGATGCTTTAGCTGAAGGGGGTCATTATTTTTTCCATCATTTAATTAGGAACTTTTGCTTTCTCGGGTGATAGCTGAACAAATGTACAGTTAAACCTATGCAATTTGTCCCTCACAAAGCTCCTTTAGAACTCACCAACCATGCACTGTCAACTGCCATTGACTTGACAGTGCCCACTATTTTGCAATGCCAACCAAAACAAGAATTTTAACTCACAGAACAAGCCTGACGAGTGACACTCAGCTTGGTAGAAGATACATTTCAACTCTTGTCTTAAGCTATCAAATTAGACTTTAGACAATCTTTTTCTTGCATATGTGCTGTCTATTACATTATATTATGTTCCTGGTCTATTTTTGCCATCAAAAAAGTGCACATTTCCTCTATGTATGTGTGTGTGCGTGCGGGCATGTGTGCATGTGCATAGGCAATTCTTATTATTTGAGTAAAGTCACAAATATGCCTTTGAAAATAAGCAAATTCACGAACATGGAACTCAGAAATGATGAGGATTATTTAATTTCTTTTTATGACCTTGTATTGCATGCATATTGTCTCTGTGTGTATAATGTCTCTGTGTATGTATGCATGTATATGACTGAAGATGGATAGGAACAGATCAAATCCACTTGTACTTCATTACAAACCATAAGTCCCACTGACTTAAATAGGACTTGTTCTCAGATAAATCACTACATAATTATTTATAGAGTGAAGAACAAGCCATGAAGTAAAGATAGGAAATAATTTCCGTTGTTTAATTCATAAATTTTATTAGCAGGAACAGTTCTTTCTAGTCGAGGAAAGAACTTGGTCTAAAAGTAATCACATACAAAAAAAAAACAAGTCTTCACTTGCAGGTTCCAGTAAAAATATTCAGACCTATCATGAGTGATTTACAACCCATTCTGGGCAATGGCTTAAGACTGTGCCAAATAGTCCTCAGAGAACTGACTTAACTGATCTGTATGGGCAACCCAACTGCTGTAATAAAGCTGGACAATATGGAAATAAAGTTTGGTCAAACAGGCAAGGCAATGCCAGAATAAGTTGGATGCTAAAGAACTGGCTGCAAAAGTTTGTCACTGGGAGATATCAAAAACCTATTCTTAAGATGCTCTGGTAGCTAGAATTTAAGGGAGGCAACCACTGTTTGTGAGCTAGGAACAGTTAAAACAATCCAAATTAGGAGCCTCTAGCAAAGGAAATGCTTCGTCCCATGGAAGCAAAACCAAAACCTATGAAAAAGAATTATTGGAGTGGTGGTAGACACACTCACATGCATGGGAGAAGAAAGGAAATAATCATAATAAACATAAACCCTAAAAAACATGAGGCTTCAGGTTTTTGTTGCCTTGGGGAAGAATGCCATCCACCATTTTTAGCAGTAGGCAGCCTGCTTCAGTGGTGGGTTCCTAATTGGTTTACTGCTGGTTCACTGTGGAGGGAATTTTGCATGTGC